ACATCGCTGGTTCAATGCTCAGCGACCACTGAAGACTTAACAAAGGACTCACCATGCATCTAAACTGTCAACACTTGGAAAGGAGTCTACAGGGCTCCCTCTCTAGACTGCATCCTTCCACAAAGCAAGTGCTTTCAAATTTAAACTCTAAAACACCAGTTTGTAGAAGTTGTAAGAGATAGAAAAATGTTCCCTGTGAGTTGTGGAGAGGTTTATGTGGTTGTTCTTTTCTGGGAACAAGATAATTTTGCAGCCATAATGGTACATAGCAGAGGGCAGGGAGTGTTACTGCAGGAGATTTGTCACTACAAACCAGTTAACTGAAGAGAGTGTTGAATAAAAGAAAGGGTTCATGTATGATTATTTATTGAATTCTGTTCCCCCCAAATTGTGCTGTAAATCTTAACTTCTCTGATTGTGGATATCGAAACTGTACGTGGATCAAGAGGAAGTTCTCTCAACAGAACTGGGGAATACTACATGGTTTAAAATCAATGAAGGTGTGTGTTGGTGTTGTATGCTCTCCCCATACTTATTTAATCTGCATGCTGAGCAACTAACAGAGAAACAGGGTTATATGAAGAAGAATGTCACCAGGGTTGGAAGAAGGCTTATTAAGCATTGAGCTATGCAGATGAAGCAACCTTGCTTGCTGAAAGTGAGAGGACTTGAAGCATTTGTTGATGAAGATCAAAGATTGTAGCCTTCATTATGGATTACAACCTATGTAAAGAAAACCCAAGTCCCCACAACTGTACCAATAGACAACAACATGAAAAATGGAGAAAAGGTTGGTGTTGTCAGGGATTTCAAGCCAAAAAATCCCCCAAGTGTTATTTGTTTCCACACTCAATGCTCCTGGAAGCAGCAGTCAAGTGATCAAAAATGCACCAGGGAAATCTGTACAAGAGATTAAAATGTTGAAAAGCAAGGATGTCACTTGGAGGACTAAGATGTACCTGACCCAACCATGATACGTTCAACCCCTTTATATGACTATGGAAGGTGGACACTGAATAGAGAAGACCTATGAAGAATCGATGCCTTTGAATTATGGTAGCAGCAAAGAATGTTGAACATATCATGGACTGTCAAAACCCCAAGCTAAACTAAGTCAGTGTCATTGAGTCAGCTCTGCCTCATAGGAACCGTATGGGACAGAGTAAAACTGCCCTTCTGGTGTTCCAAGACTGTAAGTCTTTATGGGAGCAGATACCTTATATTTTTTTCCTGAGGAGCAGCTGGTGGTTTCTAACTGCTGACCTTGATGTTCACAGCCCAACTGGTAACCACTCTGCCACCAGGGGTTCCCTGTGGCCTTCTGAAGAATAAACAGACAGACCTGTCTTGGAAGAAGCACAGCCAGAATGCTACTTTAAAACAAGACTGACAAGACTTCGTTCCATGTATTTTGGGCCTGTTGACAGGGGAGACCAAACCATGCAAAAAGACATCACGCTTGATAAAGTAGAAGGCCAGTGAAAAAGAAGGCTCTCTAGAAGATAGACTGACATGGTGGCTGCGACCATTGGCTCACGCATAGTGGGAGGATGGCTCAGGACTGGACAGTGGCTGGTGCCGTTGTGCACAGGGAAGCTATGAGTCAGAGCCATCTCGAGGACACCTCACCACAACAGCATGTTCCGGTGATCATCCCATTTGGGAATGAGATGTCTTTGTTGTATTTATAAAGCAGCATTCATGTCGGTTGGATATTGATTAAACCAAAATACAAAGCTATAAAAAGGAATTCAAGAAAGCTAGCAAAGAAGATACATGGTTAAATAGAAACCAAGACACCTGGAGAAAACCAATAAAAAAGGAAGAAGAAACAAGCACGTTCCTTGGCAGTGGTTCTCAACCTTTCTAATGCTGTGGCCCTTTCATACAGTTCCTCATGTTGTGGTGACTCCCCAACCATAAACTTATTTTTGTTGCTACTTTATAACTGTTATTTTGCTACTGTTATGAATCGGGCAACCCCTGTGAAAGGTCATTTGACCCCCAAAGGGGTTGCAACCCACAGGTTGAGAACTATTGCTCTAGAGCCAGCAGAGAAAGGCTTCCCCTACGTCCAGCACTCTGAGTTTGGGTTTCTAGCCTTCTAACCTGTGAGAACATGAATTTCTCTTGGTGAAAATCACTCACTTTTAGTATTTTTATTGTAACAGCATTTAGCCACTAGCACATAATTTGGTACCAAAAAGGTGTTGGTGCTGCTTGGCTATAAAAGATGCCTAGAAGGCATAAGTGAGTTCGAAATTGTGTAATGAATGGAGCCTAGAAGGCTTCTTTGTTGTTGTTGTTATCTATCATTCCATTTGTGATGATTTGGTTTTCTTAAAAATATTTTTTTGGATTATTATTACTTTTAATAATTTTATTGGGTAAATTGGTAGATAAAGATAGACCCCAAAGACAATTCTAGTAAGGGCTCCAGGAACTGAAGAGAGTTTTAAAGAAAGTCTCTACTATCTCAGAGAATACCTATGGCACCAGCCACAGAATGTTCCTAGGAACTGGCTGTGAAATGTGCTTCTGGGGAGGCTTTAATAGAAAATAATAAATATGTGATTGAAAAGTGAAGGAAGGGCAACTTTTTTATGCAGTTGTAAATAACTTATCTGAATTATTTTCTAATGTTTAGTGGAAGGTAGAATTTGTAAGTGATGAATTTAAATGTATGGTTGATGATATTTCGAAGTAAGATTTTTAAAACGGGCCAATATTTCTGCTTGCCTCTTATAGTAAACGAGGCTCCCTAGTGTGATAGTGGGTTCCAGGTGGGGCTGCTAACTACAAGGTCATCAGTTTGAAACCACCATGTGCTCCGAGAGTGAAAGATGAGGTTTTACACAACTAAAAAGACTTACAGTCTTGGGAACCCACAGGGGAATCCTGATTCTGTGCTACACAGTGGCTGTGAGCTGCAATCAACTCAAAGGCTATGAAATTTTGTTTGTTTCATGATAAAATGTGAGAGGAAAGCAGTGAACTTGAAAATGCACTGTGCAAAATGAAAGCAAGATTTAAAGATTTGGAAAATTGTGTTGTATAAATTAAGGACACATATCTTACCATTTTTACCAAAGATATGGCTATATAATCACTATGACCAATAAATCTTATCAACTACCACAGTTGAGACCAAAGGGGGCAGAGAAAGAATGAAAAGAGAGAACTCTGTCAGCCTCTTGGGATTCTGTAGGCAGCATACAGGCTACAGGAGCTACTTGTAGCTATTGTCTGCAAGAAAAGATCATTGGTGGAGCGCTTGTGAATCAGCAGGACTTCTGGAGGAAGCACAGGTAACAGAATGACCCAAACCTTATGGAGTGGACCCATGGACTCTAGGGCATCAAAGGAATTAAACAAGTAAGCAACGCAGAGATGAGGTAAGAGAGATGCCAAGACACACGGAGAACTCAAAGGAAGGGGGTCCAAATTTGAAGAGACCAGGACCTTTCTCCAGAGTAGGTTTACTTTCTCATTCCATCATCTCGACACTGATGCAGAAAAGTTTTTAAAAGGATGTATAAATAGTTTTGATTACAAAGGGGACTGTTTTTCCTCTAAATCAGATTATCGCTGTCACAATCCTGATGTAAAGTGGCAAAGTTTTTGAAAACTTGCCCTAGCTCATCTTAGCAGAATAAAGTGCTGGCAGTTCACAACTGGAGGATGTTAGTTGATGGCTGGATTATTAAAAAAAAACTCATTTCATTGGGGGCACGTACAACTCATCACAATTCATACATCTATCCATGTGTCAAGCACATTTTTACATTTGTTGCCATCATCATTCTCAAAACCTTTTCTTTCCACTTGAACCCTTAATATCAGCTTTTCATTTCCCCCCTCCCTCTACCACCCTCTCTTCTTCATTACCCCTTGATAATTTATAAATTATTATTTTTTCATGTCTTATACTACTGATGTCTCCCTTTACCCACTTTTCTGTTGTCCATCCCCATGGGAGTGAGGTTATATGTAGATCATTGTGATCGTTTCTCCCTATCTCCCCTCCCCTCCCCTTCCCTTTCCCCTCCTGGTATGGTCACTCTCACTATTGGTCCTGAGGGGGTTATCTGTCCTGGACTCCCTGTGTTTCCAGCTCTTATCTGTACCGGTGTGCATGCTCTGATCTAGCAAGATTTGTAAGATAGAATTGGGGTCATGATAGTGGGGGGGAGGCATTAAAGAACTAGAGGAAAGTTGTATGTTTCATCGGTGCTATACTGCACCCTGATTGGCTTGTCTCCTCCCCATGACCCTTCTCAAAGCAGATTTCTTATGATTAACAGTTAAGCACCTAACCATTGAAGCTCCTTGAATCCAAGTTTAGCATGTTTTAAAATTTGATCTCTACTTATGAAATATTTAAAACTCTCCTTTATTACAAAAACACTGAAGCTAATGCTTGTGCCATCTCAAATGTTAAAGTCCTCTCTGCCTTCGAGGGCATGTCCAGTGACTGCAAGGAAATTCAATCAAGTCTATTGGATTGAGTTTCTAATCAATGCATATTTATTGAGCCTTTATCATTCATTGCACTTCCACTAATTGTACTTGTAGATATAAAATCACCATATGATACATTATAGTTTTTTTAAAAATATGTCTTCTTATCACTTTCAATTATACAAATGATACCCACACCAGTTGTTATTGAGCTAACTCCAATTTGTGGTTACCTATCTAGGTGTGTCAAAGTAGAATTGTACCTCTTAGGGTTTTCAATGGTTTATTTTCTAAAGTAGATCACCAGGCCTTCCTTCTCGGGGAATTCTGACTGAACTCAAACTATCAACCTTTTGGTTAGCAGTTGAATATATCAACCACCCATCTGAATCACCCCAGAACTCCATACAAATAACAATGATCAACTATTTGCTAGTGTGAGCTGTGGATGCTAAAATCAAATTAAGAAGATAACATTCATTGAGCAGTATAATCCTAAATGTTTAATTTCATTATTATTATTATTTTTTTTTATGTAGGAGTTACAAGAAGACTGGGAATAGGCTGTGCAGACGAACACTATGAAAACATCCTGAAGCTACTTTGGAGTCTCAGTCAATTAACTGGATTCAGGTTTCACAAACCAGAAAACTGGTCCATAGACAATTTGCTACAGGTAAGTGTGAAGTATAATTTCTTCCATTAGAAACCTTCAAAGATTAATTGACTGCAGGGTTGTTAATAACATTTCATATAATTACAATGTCCCTTTCGTACTACTGATAGCTTTCTTCCCTCCCATAGGCACACACGTGGACACCAGCATATGGCTAAATGTCTGGCCATTTCATCTTGTTCATTTGGATTTTAGTCAGTTACAAAAGAAGGGAGCAAGAGCAAAAGATACCCAACTCATAAAAGTTTTACTGGGAATGTTTTATGCAGTGAGGTGGGAGGGAAACTGTTCCACAAACAGATGTTTTGGTGCACTGTCCCAGGAGTTCTAGCTGTGGCAGATTGAGCTGCCCATGATTCAAACAGAAACAAAGAGAAAAAAGTGATTTTTTTTGTCCCCTTCCTGTTTTGAAGCTAGGGACACAGGTCATTAATGTAATAATAATAATAAAACAGTGTATGGGTAATAATATAGCTACTTTTTATTCTTCCTTTGAAAACCCAGTGAGAATGGAAAGCTTGATGTAGTGATAACATGCAAGTGTTTTCTCTTGATCTATTGGGGAATCGGTGCTTGTCTGAATGAGCTGAGGGGGAAGAAGGAAAATCCCAGAGCCTCTTAACCAGCTGCAGTTTGTGGGCTGGGGCATTCGCTGTTGTCAAATGTTGTGTCATTAGAGTCAGCATCACTCAAGCTTTTACAAAGGATTCGACCAACTCTGTCAAAGGCAATGCTATATTCATTTATTTTGTGATTTCACTAAGATTGAAAAAACAAAAAGATAAAAGTATAGTGACATCATGGCAAGGGGGGCATTTGTCTTTGCCATTTCCGTTGGCAAGTCCTTACTTGATTCGTTGATTCATTCCTGTGGCTTTAAGGTCTGGTAGAAATGTTATGCCCTAACAAATGGAGTTCTTAGGGATTTTATTTTATTCACGCTTTGAAGGATTTTATTTTACTTGAATCTATAATCAATACCCATGAACAGTGCAGTCGAGAAATCAAAGGACATATTGCCATGGGCAAATCTGCTGCACAAGACCCTTTGAAAGGGTTAAAGACAAAAATGTCACTGTGAAGACGAGGGTGACCTGAAGTAAGCATGCGAATTTCACTCACCCCGTGTGCTTATGACAAGCTGAGAATGTGGAGTGTATAATGATAATCTATAAAGAAGGCAGAAGAATTGGTGCTCTTGAATTAGGGAACTGACAAAGAACTAGAAAGATACCAGGGACTGTGAGAAGCAAGAATAAATCTGTTTTCGAATAAATATAGCGAAATTGCTTCTTAGCGGTGAGGATGGCAAGACTTTGTTTCAGGCACTTTGAACCAGTTCCTGGAGAAAGATGTCAGTCTTGATAATGCAGCAGATGGATTGACAATGTGGTTTCAACATTTGGGCTCAAGCACAGTAAGCTTTGTGCGAATGGCATGGGACCACATGGTGTCATTCTGTTGTATATCAAGCTCTTATGAGCTGCAGCTGAGCAATGGCATATATAGCTTCTATCTATAGTGGATCCATAACTAAAGAGCTTCCCAGAATATAACTCTTTTTCTCTTAATAATCCATCACAAGGTGTAGATTATGCTTCATACATATGCTGTCTTCTGCAAGAAGCCCACTTTGAGAGTCATATAAGAATCTAGTTGTAGACATGCTTTGCCAAATATAAACTGTTCTATAAGACAAAGAGACACTGGTAAGTACCAATTCCTCAAAATGAGAGGAAGCAGTAAAAGAGAAAACACATGATGTTCTTCTTTGTAAAACACGTCATGATTGCCACTTTCCCTTTGATAACATTGCCTTCGATCTTGGTCCTTCTATGGTTACTGAGAGGTGTTGTTTTAGATAGGTTCATTTTTTTCATAGGGGAGAAATATTTGTTCAAGTGAAATGGGAATTATTTTAGTAGAATACTTAAGCTGAAAAAGAAATAGAACGGGGGACATACTGGGTAATTTGTCTGTTTCGTTGTCATTCTTGTTAGGTGCCTTAAAGTCAGTTCTAATTTACAGTCGACCTATGCACAACAGAATCAAAACATTGTCTGGTCCCGTGCCATTTTCACAATTATTGTTATTTCTGAACCTCTTGTTGTAGCCTATATCATTCCATCTAGTTGACAGACGTCCTCTTTTTCTCTGATCCTCTACATTACCAAGCATAATGCTTTTTAATAGAATCAAGCTCTCTTGATAACAAGAATAAAGTACATATATACTCGAGTATAAGCCAACCTGAATATTAGCCAAGACACCTAATTTTACCACAAAAACTGCATTGAAAATGTGCTGAAAAACTCGGCTTATACATGAGTATATATGGCATGTGAAACGAAGTCTCACCATTCTTGCTTCTTCTTTTTTGTTTTTTAAATCATTTTATTGGGGGCTCATAAAACTCATCACAATCCATACATATATCAGTTGTATAAAACACATTTGTACATTCATTATGTTCATCATTCTCAAAACACTTCATCTCCACATAACCCCCTGGCATCGGCACCTCATTTTTCCCCCTCCTTCCCCACTCCCCTGTCCTTCATGAACCCTTGGTAATTTATAGATTATTATTTTGTCATATCTTACACTGTCTGATGTCTCCCTTCACCCAGGGAGGGGGCTATATGTAGATCCTTATAATTGGTTCACCCTCTCTACCCCACCCTCCCGGTATTGCCACTCTCACCACTGGTCCTGAAGGGATCCATCCTGGAGTCCCAGTTCCTATGTGTACCAGTGTATATCCTCTGGTCTAACCAGATTTGTAAGGTACAATTGGGATCATGATAGTGGGTGGGGAGAAAGCATTTAAGAAATAGAGGAAAGTTGTATGTTTCATCATTGCTACACTGCACCCTGACTGATTCATCTCCTCCCTGTGACCTTTCTGTAAGGAGATGTACAGTTGCCTACAGAAAGGCTTTGGGTCCCCACTCTGCATTCCCCCTCATTCACAATGATATGTTTTTTTATTTTTTGATGCCTGATACCTCATCCCTTTGACACCTTGTGATCCCACAGTCTGATGTGCTTCTTCCACGTGAACTTCGTTGTCTCAACTAGATGGCTGCTTGTTTACCTTCAAGCCTTTAAGTCCCCAGATGCTATATCTTTTGATAGCCGGGCACCATCAGCTTTCTTCACCACATTTACTTATGTACCCGCTTTGTCTTCAGCAATCGTGTCGGGAAGGTGAGCATCATTGAGGGAGTACTTGAGTGGAGGCCCAATGTCCATCTGCTACCTTAATACTAAACCTATAAATATAGGCAAATGGATCTATTTCCCCATCTGCATATATAAATATATTTATATATGTACATGCCTTTATTTCCACCTCTATAAATGCCCTTTGCCTACTAGCTCTTTCCTCTCTATTTCTTTTTACTTTCCTCTTGTCCCACTATCATGTTCAGCCTTCATTTGGGTTACAATAATTCCTCTCGGTTACATTACCCTTGATCATGCCCTACTAGGCCTCCTACATTCTCCTCACCAGAGATCCTAATTCAAATGTATGATTCTCTTTAGGTCTTCCTTATATAACTTCCTTATATAACTTTCACATGCACATGAGGCTATTAACAATATCATGGCTTAGGCCAAATGCACCTTATTTTCAAAATGATACCTTTGGTCTTTTAGACTTTAAAGACGTCTTGTGTCTAAGACTTATTCAATACAGTACCTTGTTTGATATATTTACTGATGTTTCCAAGAGCACTGATTGTAGATCTAAGGAAAATGAAATTTTTGAAAATTTTGATCTCTTCTCCATTTATTATAATCCTCTCTATTGGCCCACTTGTGAGGATATTTTTTCCTCTTTACGTGTGTTGCAATCCTTACTGAAGGTGGCATTCCTTGGTTTTCATACTCAAGGGCCCTTGCCTTTCAGAAGTTTGTGTCATCTGCATATCGAAGGTTATTAATAAGCCTTCCTCCAATCCTGATGACACATTTTTAATAGAGTTCAGTTACTTGAATTGTTTGCTAAGCATACAGATTGAGTAAATGTGGTGAAAAATATAACCCTGATACATACATTCTTTTACTTTAAACTGTGCAGTATTCCCTTGGTCTGTTTTTATAACTACTTCCTAGTCTAAGTACACACCCCACGTGAGTACAATTAAGTGTTCTGGAATTTACCTTGTTTGCAATGCTAGCCACAGTTTGTTATGATCCACACAGGTGATATATTTGCATAGTCAATAAAACACAAGTACACACATTCAGGTATTCTCTGCTTTTAGCCAAAATCCACCTGACACAAGCAACGATAAGCGTGTCTTCTGGATCCAATTTGAATATCTGTTGCTTCCCTCACATGTACTGTTGCATCTGTTTTTGAATTAATCTTAACAACATTTTACTTGCATGTGATATTAATTATATGGTTTCATAATTTTGATATTTTGTTTGCCACCTTTCTTTGTAAACAGTATAAGTATGGGTCTTTCCCAATCCAAAGGCCAGGGAGATGCATTCCAACCTTCTTGGCAGAGACTAATGCATGTTTCCAGAATTCTATTATTTGTTAAAACATCTCTGGTAGAATTATGTCTTCTTTATTGGCTAATGCTTTCACAGCACCTTGAATTTCTTCCTTTAATAACTTCAGTTCTTGATCATATGTTACCTCTTGAAGTTGTTGATTACGGACTGATTATTTTTGATGCAATGACACATACATTCAATTTTCTTTGGCTTCTTTCTGCCTCTTTCATTATTTTCCCATAGAATTATTCTATATTGCAACTCAAGGTTTAGCTTTTATCTTCTCTTTTACAGCTCAAGATATGCTGAGATTGTTCTTCCTTTATGTCTATTAAACTCCTGACATTTTTTGCATTTCACTACTGTACTTTGCTTCTTGGCCTGTCCCTTGAAATTTTCTATTCAGCTCTTTTACTTCATCATGTGGTCCATGTACTTTCACCCCTCGATGTTCAAGAGCAAGTTTCAGAGTCTTTTTTGAC